GCAGTGTTTCTCAACCATGGCAACTTGAAGATGGGTGGACTTCAACTCCCAGAATTCCCCAGCCAGCCATGGATGTATAAGAAGGGGAGGTAAAATGCAAGTGGACTTACAAGGTTCTGCGGCTAGAACCTCTCTTACTAGAGTTAGAACCTTCCTGTGGAGTTGGTTGCTTGACCTGGTCTACCTGACAGGACTGACATCTCACTTCCTTGGTCTTGCCCAGCGGCGCGTGGCTTGACAGGAAGCCCAAAGAAACCCTACAAAAGGACCACCCACTTCCATGGGGATGTCCACAAACCACACGGATGCACCCCTAAAGTCACCAGGAAGTGAGCTTGATGTGAAGAAGACGTTACCTTTTATGCACAGGCGCATCCTTAAACAAGGTCTGACCAGGCAAAGTGAGTAGACATCCATAACCCAGCTAGGCCAAAATACACCCTTCTGTGCAGAAGGACCCATCACCCTTTGGTGCCCACCTGGTATTACCAGCAGGTGCAGTGGGAGGGCTGTGCATGTTATGGGACAACATCAGATCCAGGTTGTTGGGGGCCTCCTTCCAAGGCTAAGAGTTATGCCTTCTTGTTCCCCCTGGGTAAGTGATGCTGTCCCAGAGATGCTTAGACTAGACCACCAGACAGCCACTCAACTATTCCCACTAGGTATGATGTGGAGGAAGGGCCAAGAGACGTTCAGGATCCAGAGCCTTTCAGCTGGCTGGGGGATTCTAGGAATTGAAATCCACACATCTTAAAGGCTTGGAGACTGAGAAACACTGTCCTAGAGAGTGTCACAGGTTCTTTTTTAACCTCTACCCAATTAGATTGACACAGACTCAAAAGAGCCAGAAAAGCAGTAGATAGATGCTGGACAGGAATTTTTTATATCTCCCTATAAGGGTTGGGGAGATGTTTTATTTTTAATTTATTTAATTTATTTTATCTCCTCCACCAAGGTTGCAGCTTTATTAGCAACGGTGCCGTGCTGACACTGGGGAGAAGGCTCAAATAGGAGGGGAGGGAGGCACCACAAGGGCCTGCAATGGTTCCTCAACCGCCTGCTCCTCCTTGACTCTGGTTTCCAAAATACCTCTTACAAGCTCTCCTCCCCTTCCCCATCCTCAAAGGAATCAGATGCACGAACAGCAGCCAGGAGACAGCTCTGCCATTAGCCATGTTCCAGAATGTCTTTTGATTTTCCAGAGGAGTAAATTCATTTCATGGCTTGGGATAAGACCTTTCTCTTGACCCAGCAGCCCCAGGCCTCTGGCCAGCTTAAATTGGGAGCCGGTTCATCCACAGCTCAAAGTTTGGATGGCTCGAGGCAGCTGGTGGCCCGCTTGTCAAACTGATCCCATTCCAGAACTGGGTCAAGGACAGTCACCACCAACCAGAGAGCAGACACAATATCTTCTTTGGACTCACGGACTGCAGAAATCACCTTTGACTGGGCAATAGCGGCCCAATAGGTGGGCCCCCCACCCAACTCAGCAGCTACAATCCAGCCCCCCGGCTTCAGCTTTTGCAATTCATGAGAAAACTGTTCATTCAAGCAACAAATCCCCTGCAGTTCCTAGTCAGGGGACAAATCTTTCATAAAAAGGTGCAAATCTGTAAACGAAGTGGTCACCTAGTCCCTTTCCCAAGAAATTCACAATAGGGGAATGCCTCTTGTCTACCACCCTGTGAGGGAGGTTAGGCAGAGGAAAGTTGGTAGGCTGAAGATATGATCATCTTGGGGTCTCCATCCACTACAGGTTTCTCAACCTCAGCAACTTTAAGATGGATGGACTTGGGAATTCTGGGAGTTGAAGTCCACCCATGCTGCTGGAGAATTCTGGTTGTTGAGGTCCACTCATCTTAAAGTTGCTGAGGTTGAGAAACCTTGCACCAGACCACCTTGGCTTCAAATGCTACAGAAAGGTGAGCAAAGTCCATCACCTGCCTGCCCTCATTCCCTCACCCTTCACCCCAAATTCAGCAATACTCCCCACTTTTTGCCTTCCAAGCCATTGCAATGCATGATAAAGGTGAATCTAAAAGGTATAAAAAAAACCACCACGATTTTGCAGGTGGGCTTTCTGGCCCCTTGCAGCATCATTGGGATGCACTGCCAGGTAGGCCAACGACTGAAGAATCTCAGCTCTACATCCTTTGTAAGGGGCTTGGAATCAGGGAGGGCACAGACCGCAAGATTTCATCTCACGATCTGCAAAAAGCCCATTTTGAATTGGACCGACTGCAGCCTTCCAGTCTTGATTTGGGAGTCAAAATCTCTGCATATGGACCCTCACTGGAAATTACCATTGACTACAGTGCATTTTATTTGATTTTACTGAAAATGTTCTAATTCAAATTTTATTTTTTTTCTGATGGACAGAATTGGGCGAAATATTCATGGCAACTAAGGCGGTAAGAGGAGTCAATCTGCAGCACCCAGTTTCTAACAGATAAGGAGGCGTGCTTGACACCTTTCAGGGGAGTTTAAGGAAATTCAGCAATAGTTTGATTTCTTGGCAGAATAGTCAAGCCACGTTTGCCGCCCCGTTGGCCTATTCCAAAAGGATCAGGTAAAGCGTATTTCATAAAAGTAGCAAAGCAAGTCCTGCGACATTTCACTAAACTGGGTAGCGCAGTTTTGCGGCCTTGTTTGATGGAAGAGGGAGATGGCAGAGCACAAGGTTTGCTCGCAAAAAGTCCAGGATCCACAACATCCGACTGGAAAAACGACGGCGATTTGAAGTCCACAGATACCAAGCTCCGTGGACCAAGGTTGGGGGGCAATTTGTAGAAAGACAGCCATCAATGCCTTAGAGGTGTTCCTTGGCAGAAAAACAATTCCATCCTGAAGTCACAGAAGGAAGAGCAGGACAGCAGTGGGGGACTGATGGGAGGCAAGCCATCGCAGAAGCAGATGGCACCGAACATTTAATCCTTTCCAACCAAGCACCGATGCTAAACCCTTCCAAGCGCCACGTTATGGAGGAAAAAAATTCTTCCTGTTTTTGGAAAGCCTGGCACGGCATACTGACTGCAAGAAACCCGCAATACTTCTTCCACCTCCCCCCCCCCAAATCTTTACGATTGGAGGGCCCTCAGAAAAGCAGGGGTGGGTGGCGACCATCG